GCTGCATTCTGGAAAGTCAGAGAACTTTCCACTGTGATTGGCCAGGCAACAGTGGCAAAATGCTACAGTGACCAGTGCTGATAACTGGATGCAGTTAGAGCTCAAACACATTTAATCAACACCTTTCTTTTTAATCTAGTAAAACCTCTTGCGACAGGAAAGCAGTAGGGTTTCAGGCATTCATTTGTTTTTAAGGATCCTAGAAACATATGAAGTTTCAATTTCTGAGTTTCTATGTTTCAGATTTTCCTTTACTATTGAATTAAAAATGATATCCTTTATGATTCCATGCCTTTCAGAAGTTTTAAACATTACATTATTAGCACTTTTTACTGGTTCTTTAATTCCTTTCCTATCTTTTCCCCAACCATGAAAATAGCCAATCAGATTCAATTACTATCTTGTTAAAGCCAAAATTTTGCAACTTCTGCTTTATCTAATGATTTAGATCTTTTCTTAGTAGACTCAACACTGTCATTTTTCCATTTTCCTCTCATTTTTTAAATGACGAAAGTTAATTTTTTTAAAAATTAATGACATAACTACTGCCATACAAAGATGTGCTGCTGCTAAAACTAATATACCTGCTTTTTGTCTCTGAGAGGACCATTCTGTGACGGTGAAACAGTCATCGAATGAAGCTAGAATCCTAAATTTGTACACCAGTATAGATTATGCACGCATGTAACTTTTTTCAAGCAACAGCAAGGGAGAGTACATCTTCATAGTTCGGGGGTAGAGAAGAAGGATATAAATACAAAAGTCTCAAAAGACCGATGAACAAAGACAAATGCATTTTAGAGAAAACGAATATTAGCAAAACGTCATGTTAACGTTAATCCACACCTTTCCATGGTGACTTTTATTGGAGATCACTGGTAGTAAACTATTTCTTTTAACAATATATAATCAACCACTCTCCACTCAGGAAGAAGCAAACCACAAATTAGTATGAAAAGGTATTTTATTTCAAACTTTAACTAATAAAAATAGGTTTCTGTGATATTTGTCCTTGAACCACGTCACTAATTTTAAATAGTATGTGAAACTAAAATCAGAGTGCTTTTCAACATATAGTCTCACTTTTGAGAAGAGGGGTTTCTTTGGATAAAACAGATTTAGGAAAATGACAATCTATTGATATCTTTTTCAAAATGACACTATAATTCACCAATCTATTGGTAAAAATTATAAAATGCTTTCTTTGAACACATATTTTATCTGCAAATTCATTTTAAGAAACTATAAGAGGCATATGTATTATTTTTCTGCCACCTTATATTAGTAAAAGTATGTGACTATTAGAACTTTTTATACTAGAATTGCACGTGTGTGGAAAACTATAAAATAAAGAGGTAAATACACATCTTAAAAGTAATCCAAAGTAAAAATAATTAAGGTCAGTGTAATAAAATTTAGAAATAATTAAATTTGTTTAGAAATCAAAGAATTCTTATATTTCAGGCAAATACATATTTATTTACCTTTCTATCTAATGCTTTTTTTTTTTGTCTTTTGTCTTTTTCCGTGTCCGGCAACAGATCGCAACCCTCAGTG